CAAACATGTTAATAAATCCGGATTCATTAAAAAAATATATATTTTGCAGAGATATAAAAATATACTTAAGAGTGGAATTTATGAAAAGTAGTACACGGGTTCCCAGAAAACAGGTGTGGTCTTTAATTGCCGGACAGTTTTATTTTTCGGACGAGAAGAACGCGCAATTATACAATCCAGAAATTTTCAAGAACATTCCGTCTTCAGTTCTTCATAATGCCACTCGAGTTTCTAATAGATCCAGTTTGCTCTTATTGGCATAGCTCGGCGCTTAGCATCGCCACACACGAACGTGGGGGCCCCCAACTCTCTTAGGTCTCCCCGATGTTCTCTTATGGACTCCGAGATAATTGCAGTGATTTATTGCTTCTCGTAATTTTATAATTGCTATCGTTTACTGCGTATGAACTCGTAGTATAGTTCGTTTTTGCTGTAGTATTATAATGTAATTATCTAAAACCACATATGATTAAAATGATATTTTTCAAATCTTATAATTAGATTTACTAATCGAATAAAATCATGATTTCAAAGAATATCACCAAAGAATATAAATGCAGAAGAATATCACCAAAGTTTTTAAAGTCAGAATTTCCAGAGTACTTGATTTTAATATTAATGGGGGAAAGTGGCAACCAGAATGGTATCAAATGTTTATAATGCAGTTTTTTCAGCACTTCACAGAATTAGCTACAATTCGAAATTGACCTGCTAGAAATCCACAAAATATTAATAAAAAACTACCTCAAAGCTTGATTGAGGTTGATAGTTTGGTGCGCGATGTTTACTTTTGTAATTAAGTAATTTTGTGCTTTCATAAATTTTTTTTCGAAGATTTTCTGAAGAATTAGCAACATGGTATTACTTCCCATCGCATACATTGTCCATAAAATCTTCAACTTTTCTGTACTTTTCACAAATAAAATGATCACAAAGTATATAGATAATATGTAACTATTTCATTGAGTACCATCACATATCTTGACGTGTCACAACTTTAGCTCTGCTTTCCATATTTTGTCTGGTAAGCTTCTGGGCTATTTGTAATGTCAATATAGATGCTTAAATTGGTGCAATAAATATATTGTTAGGAAACAATATCATTGTGCTGAGTAGACTATTAGGTTGGGAGGTTTGGTACGCTTTCGCGAATATCAATAAGTACAGGAGTCTGTATGCAATCGGTTTACAGTCGGATTACCAATTTTTTCCAAGGTTTTTCTTGGATTTATAAAAACGTGCAGATATTTTTAGAAGATAATTTAACGAGTTTTCCAACATATCATAATGGTTTCTAAGGATATCAAGGGATTTCTAAGATTTTCCAAGAATTTGTAAAGCTATCCAGATATATCTGTGATTATCCTATCATTTTTAAGGATTTTCAAACATTTTCAGAAGACTTGTAACCACATCCAATGTTATTCAGGGATTTCTAAAAATGTTAAGGTATTTTTAGAGGATGATTATTTCAGGTTATTCAATAATTCGCAATGGTTACCAAGGATAGTAAGAGATTACTAAAACCTTCAAACAATTTGTAAAGTTATCCAGATATTTCTGTGATTATCCTGTGATTTTTAAGGATTCTCAACCATATCCAGAAAACTTTTAACAATTTCCAAGGTTATCGGATTTCTAAAAATGTCTAGGTAGTTTTTGAAGATATGGTTTCCATGGATTATATGGGATTACTAAAATTTGTCACGAATTTTTAAAGTTATCCAGATATTTCTGATTTTCCTGCCATTTATAAAGATTCTCAAGCATTCCCAGAAAATTTGTAACGCGTTTCAAGGTTCGTCAGGGATTTATAAAAACATACAGATATTTTTAGAAGACAATTTCACGAGTTTTCCAACATTTCGCAATGGTTTCCAAGGATATCAAGGGATTACTAATAAGACTTTCCAGAAATAAATTTTTGAAATAATCGACAATTTTTTCGAATTTGGCAATTTTCGCCGATTAAGTTTTAAAAATTCGTATAAAATCCATTTCTTGAAGTATGAGTTCCCAAAGTGTTAATAAAAGTGTCCTCTTTCCAATGAACCAACCCGTTTTGAAAAATAACTTTTTGTTTTTGAGAAAACAATATTTGAAGTTTTGATAAAATTTTTAATGTAGCAATTTTCATCGATAACTTTCAAAATTCGCTATAAAATTCATTTCTTGAAGGATCCTTGTGGAAATATCACCAACTATTGATTAAAGTTTCCTCTTTTTAATGCAACAAGCCGTTTTGAAAAATCGCTTTTAGTTTTTGAGAAATAAATTTTTTAAATGATCGACAATTTTTTCGAATTTTGCAATTTTCGCCGATTAAGTTTTCAAAATTCGTATAAAATCCAGTTCTCAGAATATGAGTATGAAAATCTTCTAAAGTATTAATAAAAGTGTCTTCTTTCCAATGAACAAACCCGTTTTAAATAATAACTTTTAGTTTTTGAGAAAACAATATTTGAAGTTTTGCTAAAATTTTCGATGTTGCAATTTTCATCGATAACTTGCAAAATTCGCTATAAAATTAATTTCTTGAAGGGTCCTTGTGGAAATATCACCAATCATTAATTAAACCTCTTTTCAATGCAAGAAGCCGTTTTGAAAAATTGCTTTTGGTTTTTGAGATATACATTTTTGAAATGATCGACAATTTTCAACTTTCAAGGTTAAGCTTTAAAAATTCGTATAAAATCCATTTCTTGGAATATGAGTATGAACATGTCCCAAAGTGTTAATAAAAGTGTCCTCTTTCCAATGAACCAACACGTTTTGAAAAATATCTTTTTGTTTTTGAGAAAACAATATTTGAAGTTTTGATAAAATTTTTAATGTAGCAATTTTCATCGATAACTTTCAAAATTCGCTATAAAATTCATTTCTTGAAGGATCCTTGTGGAAATATCGCCAATTATTAATTAAAGTATCCTCTTTTTAATGCAACAAGCCGTTTTGAAAAATCACTTTCAGTTCTTGAGAAATAAATTTTTGAAATGATCGACAATTTTTTCGAATTTTGCAATTTTCGCCGATTAACCCTAATGGCCTGATAGATATGCCGCATAACCGGATATCCGGCAGAAGGGGATGCCGATTATCCGCAAAATTCCATCCCTAGTTTGCAAGGATATAATAATAACAATTTCCAATGTTATTCAGGGATTCCGAAACCGTTATCGGGGATTACTAAGTTTTCCAGAAATGTGTAAAGCTATATATTTCTGTGATTACACTTCAATTTTGAACAATTCTAATAAATTTCAAGGTATTTCTACAATTACCAGAAATTTTTTATGGTTATCAAGGATGATTTTTCTGCTTTTGTTTTAAAGGATATCGAAATGATGCATTTTCGAGATAAATCATAACGACTTCTAGAGACATTAAAGAAATAATAAGAATATCCACGATATTCTGCAGTATTTTTAGATCATTCTCAAGGATTTTAAAGGATTTTCATCAAATTTATAAGTATTTACTCAGCTATTCGGGCACTTTCAAAAATTTGCAGGAATTTTTTCACACTATCCAAATAATAGCAAATAATTTATAATTATTTTCAAGAATTTTAAAGTATAACTAAGTAAATTCAAGAACGTCTAAGATTTTTCTTGGAATTTCAAAAGTATTCAGAATTTTCAACTGAACTTGAACTTATGAAGATTTGACCTGCCATTCGAAGATTTCTAAGAAGTTCCCAGGTATTTCTCAAGTTATTCTAGAAACAATTGGCAATGAAAGATTTCCAAAAATATTTCTATCGGATTTATAAACTCAGAAGGTTTTCTTTGTGCCTAACAGTTTGAGCTCCATCAAAATTATTTCTTTATGATGAACAACAACCTTTACTGATTGCACTTTAACTGTTCTGGGGTCAGATTGTTTCCCCAACAATCTTGGTGTCAGCTAAAACCGTATTATTTATACAATACTTGATATAGGTTTGTATACAAAAATAAATCTAGTAAGAGATCAATAATAATTTAAGATTTAAATAGATTGTTTAATCATTGCTTAAATCAAATTTAATATTATTTATGTATAATATAGTAAGTAATTTATAGATAATTATAGAAAAAAGTGGTTTTTATTTTTAGTAATGACGTAGTAAAATGGAAAATCATATTCGATCTGAGAATAACTTAATTTGCACATAAATTAAACGATTCTTTCCGCTCCCTTAAACGTTAAATTGCCGACCGGTCGGGCGTCCACTGGAATTAATGGAGAACTTACGAGCCAATATTTGTCTTCGCCGGGCGATGGCCAATTTATGCATTTCACACTGCCGATACGGATCTATGCGCAGTCTCAGGAGTGAAAACGCGCAATCTCTGTATACGCGAGCGCGCAAAACCACTCCGGAAAATAATTGAGAGGCCGTTCTTAACAAGCGGACATCTCGTTCTAATTACCATTGGGCCAAGAACGTCGGTAAATTGGCCGGGATAGTTTATTAATTGCCTTCATTAGGGCGAAACACAATCGGCGGACGGCATCGTTGCTCTTTTTCCGATTCGAGGGCGGCTCCCGGGTGGGTCTTTCTAAATTATTGCGTCGATTTGCGAGGAGGGACCATTAAACGTCATCAGACGTCAATTAGGACTTACGCGGTCGAGTACCTCCCGTTTAAATTGAAAACGTCCACTATTAATTAACAAATAGTTTATTGTCCAACAAAACTTAATAATGGTAAATCTAAGATTGCCCGATCATTCCTTTATTGAATACGATATGTACGGTTGGACTGAATGTAACGTAGCACAAGGACAGATATCCAACAATCCCATTAAGTCGTAAATGTTCACGGAGAACATCCATAATCTCTTCATTATAAAGCACTTTAAACATTGGTTGGTTTTCAAAGGTTTCGGTGCGCAAACGTTTGTTTGGGAGTCGTTTGAAAATAGAGGCGTTTTATTATCCATAATTAGATTATCTAAATGACAATCAAATAACTAAATTTTGTTTATTAACTCTTGTCACTGTCTGTGCTTCCATCAAAAAATCAGTATGTTTCACAATTGTCATTTCTAAATTTCTAAGTATGTTTAAAAATCATGGCACCTATTTATTTAGAAATCACTTTAAGTATCTTCGCTTGGACAACATATTATTACATAGTACGATTACTAACAAGAAAGAAATCCACAGAATTCACGATACGAGTACTAGCTTTAACACATGGATTAATCACATCTATTCTTGGTACTCATCAATGCTTCCAAGGTGATGAATATCCAATTTTTCGCCCGTTAGAACAAACAACACAGCTTCAAAGATTAATTTTATTAATTAGCACTGGTTATTTTTATGTGGATTTATTTTGGTGTTTGTACAATCAAACGGAAACGAAATTAATGTTAACCCATCATCTTTGTAGTTGTGTGGCACTTACAAGAATTTTATACAGAGGAGTTACAGGTGGCCAAGCTTGTTGTAGCTTGGGATTCTTGGAAATAACGAATCCTTTATTACAATCACGATGGTTTATAAGATCATATGGTTACCACAAAACCCCATTATTTGTTGCAGTTGAAATCACATTTATTGTAACATATTTTATCGTCAGAATCATCATTGGTACCATTTACTTCGGATTCGCCATAATGCAAAAGGAGAATTGGTGGGAATACGCTTTATATTCAATTTCATTGTACGTTATGTCCTGGCTGTTTCTTATCAATATTATATTTTATTTGAACAATAAATATCAACGGAAAAAAGTTTTACCAGCTACTGATTCAAAATCGGTTTTAGCTAATGTATCACAAGAAGTTGAACTCGCTAGATCTGCAACTTTGGATAAAACCGGAAGAATAACTGAGATTGAAAACGAATAAAACCATTTTTGAGTTATTTATCGGGTTTTAAATTATTTTCTTTAATTCTTTGCATTAAAATGAATAAAAGGCTGTGTGCGTCATCTGTTGGAACATAATTGAAATGATATGAGAAAACTAGAAAACTGTTGTCTTTTGTGTTATACGCATTTCAATAAGCAAATTGGTGTAATAAAGGTTGTCTAATCGAAATGTGATTTTATTAATTTTTTAATTAAAAGTTGTTGATATATTAATTTATATTTATTTACTAAGAGGTCAACTAGAATAGAAGAGAATTTAAGCCTATGTTGACAATAGTGAAAAATAGGGAAGGAGAGATTATTAGTGCACAAGCACAAATGTTAGAAACATGGGAAAAATTTTTTGAAGAAAGACTAAACATGATAAGTGAGGAAACAGAAGAAGAGTTGGACGGCAATGAACACTTAGAAGACATGGAAGACGCAGAAGATGAAAGAGAACAATATGACCCCCCCCCCCACAGAAGAAGAAGTACTTCATACCGTCTGAACTACTGAAACATAGGATAAACAAGCTGAAAGATCATACATGTAGGCTGGCTTAAACTCCCAAAAGACTGGAATATAGGCATAATCGTGCCTATACATAAAAAGGGAGACCAAATCGTACCACTGTAGGTCACTGTATAACGCAATGAAAGAATTCGATATCCCAATACATTTAATAAAATTAATAAAAGCAACACTCTCACAAATTGAGTGTAAAGTGAAGGTCCAAAATAACTTATCAAGATCCTTTCAGACAAGTGTGGGGCTACGCCAGGGGAACAGCCTATCATGCCTACTGTTTAATATCGCTCTGGAAAAGGCTGTAAGAGAATCGGATTTAGCAAATAGAGGAGCAGTTTTTGAAACCCGCAAGAGAGGCAGGCTTAGAAGCAGATATAAGGACCAGGGGTTAGAAAGTCAAAAATGCTAGGAGTCAGAAACTGAAAGGCACGAAATAGAAGATAGTGGAAGTTGATCCTAGAACAGGCCAAGACTTACCAGGGGTTATGGTGGCAATGATGATGAAGTACTCTTCACAGTACATAAATCAAGCACGATTCCTGGGTTGAACCTTTTAAGGACCAAGACCGTACGATTGTGTCTAGAAATCTTTCAGTATTTTATCATAAACACTTTTTTGACGATATTGTACGTGAAATGACCCAATACAGGGTAGTTATTTATCATTATACCTCGTTAGGTCCTTGGCCTGCTTTCAAAGTTCCTTCCAAACTTGTCCATCCCGCGCCTGTTGTCTCCAACCCCTGATCTTTGACCTTCTTAGGTTCAACCAATCGATTTTCTACCCATAGGTACACGGCGACCAAAGATAATTCTTGTGGTACTTTTCCATCTCAACATTTGCACTTTGATAAATTCCAAATGTTCTGGTATATCACAATCAGTACATTCATAATCAAAATCAATAGGTTAAGGTGGCTCAGCTATCTAGAAAGGGTGGATGGCAGTAAAGTTACGCCAAACAGTTTTTGGAACGTTTAAGAGAGGCAGAACTAGAAGCAGATATAAGTACCAGGTGGAAGAAAGTCTAAAAAGGCCAAGGCCCACAAGGGGTTGTGGTGCCAATGATGATGATGACAGTTATTTTTAATTGAGATGTTTCTTTGGGTGATTTTCAAGTTTGGTTACTAGTTAATCTGGAGAAAAATAGCTTTACACACGAAAAGAGTACTTTTAAGATACATATTCCTATGATATGTATGAAAACTACGCCGTGAAGTAACTGCTCTTCTTGTTCAGTATTTTTAAAACCTCCCAAGTAATGTTATCATCTCTCAACAAGTTAAGACTTAAATACCTAACAATATAGGCAACCCAATATAATCACCTGCAATTAGGGTTGCAATAATTTAATTTTTGATTAAATAAAATAAATACCATTTTCTTTAAATTATAAAATAATTGTTTAATCTTTATTTCATTACATATCCTTAATTTTAATCAATTTAAAATCATAAAAACATTAAGTTTCAATTTAAATAATCCCTAACCTCAAAAAATCCTATCATGTTTAAACAAGATTTTAAGTACTATAAATCCAAAAAACCGCCACCAAGCTATGAAAATGTTCTTGATTTCGACTCAGAAAATATCCTGCACAAAGTAGTCAAATGATTAAATCCAATTATAATTATATTAATTATCATTTAATTTTGTTCTTTTTTAGGTTATAAAAAGGGAAAGGATAACAACAAATTCGAGTCTATTTGGTCTTATTCCTACAGAAGAATGGGAAATATACGATATTAAAGAAAATCCTGGTTTAGTTTTTATAAAAAATCCTTTTACACGTTTAGGACAACGATATTGGATAACAAGGTGTCTTAAATCGTATCCCGAAACACCAAATAAGACAAATTTAGATATTCACGATTTAATACCCCATAATGAAACTTGGTGGGAGAGTTCTAAAGGCGATAATGAGATGTTAAAGAAATTGAGATGGGCTACATTTGGTTATCATCATAATTGGGATACAAAAGTAAATTACATGATTTTCAAAACAATATATTATTTTAGTTAATTTCTAGATTTATTCAGAAAACTCAAAAAGTATTTTTCCAAAAGATCTTTATTTCTTCACCAAGCATTTCGCAGAAACATTAAGTTTTAATTTATTTAATCCAGAAGCTGCAATTGTAAATTATTACCATTTAGATTCAACATTATCAGGCCACACCGACCACTCAGAAAATAACTTAGAGGCACCTTTATTTTCGTTTAGTTTTGGACAAACAGCTTTATTTTTGATTGGTGGTGAATCAATTGATGTTAAACCTACAGCTTTATATCTAAAAAGTGGGGATGTGATCATTATGAGTAAAAAATCAAGATTGTGTTACCATGGAGTCCCCAAAATATTAAATTGTGTGAATAAAAGTTGGAATTTAAACGAAAATTTTGATAAAGATGAACTGATAGAAGATTTTATAGATAAAAATGTTTTAAATTTATGTTGTGATAATGATAAATGGGAGCGATTTAATAACTACATAAATAATTCGAGGATAAACATTAATATAAGACAAGTTTTAAGGAAAGGGGAAATAAAAGTAAATAAATGAATTGAACAAACTAAATGTTATTTGTTATGAAACTACAAAAATATAGGAAATACATATTAATAATACAAGAACTTATAAATTAAAATCAAAAACAGGTTCCTCAGGTTCCTTTATATCCTTAAAGTTAAACTCCTCAAAAGAAATGTTTTCTTTTATTAAATCAAATGTAAAACTGAAATCTGGTTCTAATAATTTCTCTCCTTTCAGTTCTTGGTAAAACTTGGGTGGTGGAGTTTCTAAATTCCTTAAAGCGGGAAATGAATATTCAGGCAATACAAAATCTTCAAATTTATCCATTCTGTTAGTGCAAATATCAGCTAAATACTCTGGAAAATCTTTCGGGGAAGATGAACAAATATTTTTACATTGTGTAGAAAAAGCTGCTTTTTTAACAGACCCAACATTTTGGCTCGATTTATTAAAAGAACGATCCATGAAAGGTTTTCTTGCTGATTGAGTGCCTTCATTCTTTCGTTGTAGCACACTAGAATCTTATAAAAAGCGGGTTTATTTTATTACGAGAGTTATTTAAAGATTACTTACTTTCTTGGCTGAAATTCTGTCTTACAAAGCTTTGAATAGACATCGTTGCAATTTTATCTTACAGCGTGGTTGAACCAAGACAAGAAATGATCTTTTTTTTCAACGGACAGATGTTTAAATTGACATCTAAACAAGTTTAATTGTCAACTTTTATAGTGCCATCTCTTATTTAGGAACGAAACTAATATAAAGATAAATTAACAAAAATTTATTCTGAATTAAAATTTAAAAATGGAAAATTTTGTTTGTCACTTTATTATTTTTATATTTAAATTAAAATAATGATTAATTTATAAATAAAAATGTGGTTAGTTTAAATTTAAATCAATAATTTAATGGTTTTGAGTTTTTCCCCAAAGGTGGCGCTACGGATCTAAAACCCAAATCTAACTCTTTATAATAATAATAAACAATTTTTTACTAAAATAACTTACTTTTAATTATTAATTTAATTTATTTTTATTTATTTATAAAAAATATTAAAATTTAATCTAAAAACACGTGACATTTTAGTGGTAGATGTCGCTGTTCTCAATCGATCTGTCAGTGGTCACAATCTGTGGTCACAATTTTTGTCAGCTGACTTCGTTAAACATAGTGAAAAATCAAAGAAAATGTCCGGAAAAGACAGGCTTCCAATTTTCCCATCTCGTGGGTAAGTATTTAATTAAAATTCTCACCGTATGTTAATCGTTTTCATTAAAAATTTCAATAAATTTTGTTTAAAATCCATGTTAACAAATTTCAAGGGAGTGACCTAATAATGTAATCGTTATTTTCTTTTTAAACTAGTGCCCAAATGTTAATGAAGGCGCGTCTAAAGGGTGCCCAAAAAGGTCACAGCCTTTTGAAGAAAAAAGCGGACGCCCTGCAAATGCGTTTCCGTATGATTTTGGGTAAAATCATTGAGACCAAGACTTTAATGGGAGAGGTGATGAAGGAAGCTGCCTTTTCTTTGGCCGAGGCTAAATTTACAACAGGAGATTTCAACCAAGTAGTACTCCAAAATGTAACGAAGGCCCAAATTAAAATCAGGACCAAAAAGGATAATGTTGCTGGTGTAACTCTTCCTGTGTTTGAAAGTTATCAAGATGGTACAGACACTTACGAATTAGCTGGTTTAGCTCGTGGGGGTCAGCAATTAGCTAAATTAAAGAAAAATTACCAAAGTGCTGTTAAACTTTTGGTTGAATTAGCTTCATTACAAACATCGTTTGTAACTTTGGATGAAGTTATTAAGATTACTAATAGAAGAGTAAACGCTATTGAACATGGTAAGGAGGATTAACAAGGATTTTTTTGTTTTTGTGCATTTAACATTTATTTTGTTCAGTTATCATTCCAAGGATTGAGCGTACTTTGGCTTACATCATTTCGGAACTTGACGAACTTGAAAGAGAAGAATTCTACAGATTGAAGAAAATCCAGGATAAGAAACGTATCGCTCGTAATAAAGCAGAGGCTAAAGCTGAAGCTGCAAAAGCGGCAGCTAAAGCTTTGGGCGAAAGCTATGAACAAGAAAATGCAGTTAGCTCTATGTTGGACACAGGAGATGAGGATCTCCTGTTTTAAAACAAATAAATTTTTTTTCTTTTTCTTATGTTATCCCAACTATGTAATTGATTTGTATATAAGTTCCCATGAAAGTTTTTTCAGTATTTGTAATAATTGTAATTGTGTAAGATACTCTTATTGCTTATATACTCCAGGTTAAAAATAAAAAAATCATACAGAAATGGTTACAATAAGTTACAGTTTTTAAAACGTATTTTATAAAGGAGTTGGAAATTTATTTGTAAATAAATAAGTCGTCGATTAGAATAGGTTAAAAAAATTAGATCAATTATTTTGATGTAATTCCATTTTTTTTCTGTCCAATTATTAAAATGTTAATATAAAGAAATGTAATTCTCTTTAAAATTAAATAAATGACTGTTAAAATGTAGTTAAAAAGTAAACTTCCTTAACACACATAAAAGGTTTGTATTTAAGCCTTTATAAAGTTTCTATGGAGTTTCTATTGATTAAATTTCGAGATTCTCAGAGTTAAATTGTCCACTGTGAAGTGGTTAGTCAAAAAACATTCATGTTTTGAGTTATATTTCACTCATTTAATCTTGTTTCAAAGCTCTTTAATTAATAAAGTAGAAGGGTAAGTTCTTTGTAGAAATCATCTTATTTTCTTAAATCATCCATTTAAATAGTGAGTATATGGGTGATTAGTTAACTAAAGCAATAGGCTACTATAGAGAGATACATTAGACCATTTATGGATTAGCAGGAAATATGTGCAAAAATATGGGGCAATATTCAAATTTTCGATGTGAGAAGCTATAGAAGACAAATAATATCAAAGAATCTGCTATCAGTGAGTTGGTCATGTTGACATAATCCCTACAGGTCATTATCATAAATCAATGTCTATAAGTAATTGGTCTTTACGTCATTCTTAAGCTCGAAACGAATACATTAATACTCATATTTATTCAACATACTTAAGCTGATTTAAGATAATTGACTTTTTTAAATAAGACTCAACATTTTCCTGGGATGGTAGACGTTTCAAAAGAACCCTGACCTTACCCAACATTCTTTTCAGACATGATTGACATTTAAAAAGCAAACTAACCTTACCTAACATTCCTTAGTTGTTTATTTTTCGTACATATACAAGGTGGCACAAAAGTTGTCACCCGATGTTCTTTGACTATAATTTTTTTATGAATGGAAAAACTTTTATTATGTCTTAATTTTTTTTTCATATATGTAGTTGAAAAAATGATATCAGCAATGTAGTCACCATCAGAATTGATAATCATACCAGCCAAATTTATGACATTTTCCACCACTTCTGACAAAACTTGCGGCGATAGGATTCTTGGCGGATATTTTCTTTGAGGGCTTCAAGAGTTTGGGGTTTGTTAACATGCTCGTGATTTCAAAAAAAACCCACAAAAATAAGTCTGGAAGTGCAAATCGCCAAAACGAGATAATGCAGCTTTCAGAATTTCGGTTGTAGCTCGTGCAGTATGCGCCGTTGCTCCATTCTGTTGGAACCACATGTTCTCTAGTCGTAATTCATCCAATTGAGGAAGAAAAAACCCGTTGAGCATAGCTTTGTAGCGCTTGCCGTTCACAATAGCGATATTCTCAGCAGAACGGCTGTTCCAGGACGGTAGTATAGTTATGTGCGTTCTGGACCAAAATCCCATAAGATTTAACATAGGGGTCCGAAATCACATTTTATCCCCACCACTACCTGCTTTCCAGGTCCTGAAGTGAGGCTTACAAACCCTCCGGCATGCCTATGAAGTGTGTATATTTGCATTATGGTTATTTTCCACGTGGAATAGTAGGATTGATATGTTGTATGCGCCGAATGACTCTCATTCTATCAGCGGAGGGGCCCCATATCAAGGGATAGCTTAGGCAAGCACTTAAATAATCCTATTTTAATATCAAATTATTTTACTAGCAGCTTAAGAATATATGTCAGTGTTCAATATATATTAGATTACATAATTAGATAGGATTTTACATGTATAGCAATTTGATTATAACAAGAGAAGCACTGAATTGATTTTGATAAACAATGTCTCATTCGAAAGCTGTGTCCTTAGCCAACACGAAAGTGGAAATGCCCGATTTCGAAATCTCTTTCGAATTCCGCTAAAACGTAAAAATATTGCGAACATACACGAAAATGACACAAAAACGACCTTCTTTAAGTAGTCATAATTCGTAAACTATGCACTCGATTATCAAGATCTATGCGTCATTCGATTCGTCATAGTTTCTTCTATTGAAATCACAAAAAGCCCGATCTCGAATCTTTCCCGTTAACCTTATATAGCCCTCGGAATGACACTGTCTTCGGCTCCTTGTTTATGCACGTATGGACGCCCGAAAGTCTAGCCCCCAATAACAAAAAATTAATTTGTATTAAATTGATTATAACTAGAGAACGGTTTGGCGGGTTTTAATGTTATATCTCAATCGAAAGCTTGCGCTTGGCTAAATGCAGCTGTTGAAATGCCCGATTCGAAATATGTAAAGATTTTGATTAAAACACAAAGAACTTATTAATCAAACACATCAATTATCTCCTTAATTAATTGATCAATTTTTATCATCAACGTCTATACTACAGTCTTAAATCTTGACAATGTTCAAAATCGGTTACTTTTTCATTTTCAAATTCGCACATGTTACGTATGTTCAGTGATTATAACAAACTTTTCTGCTATTTTTTCCATCGTATGGTTTCAACGATATCGATCTCTAAATTTACTTTGGCTTTTGCCACCGATTGTCGTTGTAAGTATTGACCAGCGTGTCAAGATTTGACAGGATTAGCAGAACCTATCTTGTTGATTACGTTTAGAATCCAGTTTAGATATTAAGTGGAAAGCTGGAAATACTGTGGCTTGAGTGATCAAAAACAATCAGAAATTTTATGTATATCTCTGTTTCTAGAGATGTTCTCTTCAAAATATTTCAACCGTTATGGAAGTATTGAAAATACGCTAGTTTACATCTTCTTGGCAATGAGGTATTGATAGGGACTGCATTTACTGAAATTTCCATATTATACTTATATGATGATTTCTCAAATTTAAACAGTATTCTTTGGATTAATTATTTCTTCATAAAGATTAAGACTGCATTGTTTGCGTATTAGATGATTCTTACATCCTTCTTGCGCAACCTGCATCCTTTTCCATCACGCATCGTTTCTTTAATTATTTGGTCCATCACTAACTTAAGTCGAGATCATCTTCTTGTCTCACTCCAGTTGTAATTGGTACACATTTCGTGAGTCTCTCCTCTATTCTTACAAAATCCTTACATCCAGTACACATCTCACTTACAAATGCTACACTTTGCAACTATCGTTGATAGATAGCATCTATAGTTGACATGTTTTTACTGAATCCTTATTGTTGTCAATATTTTTTGTAATAGATTTGTATTGGGAAGAAACTGTAATGCAAAAACAAAGAATCATACGATTCACGGACCATCCACGATATCATCACACTCTTTCTGAGCTGCTGAATTCACCCTTCAGCTCCCCTTGGAGCTATACATCGAACTTCTCCGCTGTTTACAGCTCGTTTGGTCCAATTATTGGAGCTTTAGTAATTGCAACATGCTATTTTATAATAGTGCAAACGGGTCTAATTGCTTTTACAATTATTTAAGAAGATTTTTGTGTTAATTGGAAGTTAATCACTTACTTCAGAGTAATTTGTAGTCAATTTACTACCAAATAGATTACAAATTTTTATTATTACGATTATATCTCCTTGTTTTATGGCTTAATTTACCGGAGATACTCGGCTTGTTACCGATTGTTGAATATCCGCCGTCACAAGACTGAATTTATTGGGTTTAAATTGGACGCTATTGCGCTATTCAGAGGTGTATTAACTCAAAATTTGCTTTAAAAAAATCATATATGTTTCAATAACATTCAAGTTTTATTTTAAATCCTACTAAGTTTATTATTAATAATCAAGTTATAATTTATTTAGATAAATAAATGGGTTTTAAATTGTAATAATAAGGAATAAATGATGTTGTATATTTTACATGATAAGTTAGGTTGTATGTGGGATTGACAAAAAATTTCAAAACTAAATTGAAGTTTTTAAAGAAATTATGTTTAAAAAGAATTTAATCAGTCCGGTTCTGTATTCCAGAAAGTCCCGGAGTCACTGCGAACAACAGGAGCCGCACATCCAACGTTTAGTTTTCCACGAAAGCTCTGACTGAAAACATCTTAAAGCTCCCCTTCTTAGAACAAAACTTTTTCTCCCACACACAAAAAAATCATTCCTTTATAAAGGTAATTAATTAAAGATTATATTAAAAAATAATTTATTAATAACAATTTTTTTCTTTACAAGAAAATGGAATATATGAAAGTTCCAGAATCTCGTTACGAAGAAGTTATCGAGTATTTACGTGAAGCTTTTCCAGATGAACCTTTAAACGTTGCGATTGGTTTATGCCAAAAAGGGGTTCCTTGTGAACTTTTAGAATCGCAAGATTTACAAACGTTACGTGATGGTCTTTCGGTGATGGTTATTGATAAAACAACCGGGGAAGTGGGTAACATTTCTTTCTCATTTTGAACAATAAATTCCACTCCATTACCCCATTTGTGCTCTCATCTAGAACTAATTAAGTTCTAAATGCAATTTAAAACCCGGCGCATCCACCAATTTTAATATATTTTTAATTACGTTTTATTTAGATAGCTGGAGTCGCTTTGAATGGAATTTCAAGAAAAGGCGATGTAGAAACCGCGATGGAAGCAATGAAAGACATCGATTCAATCGAATACCATCACATATTCGAGCTGTTATTCGGTTTAAATAAAAAAGCCGATCTTTTCAATAAATACAAAGTCGATAAAATTTTTGAATTAAGAATTTTAAGTGTTGACGGTAAATATCGAGGACGAGGTATCGCGAAAGAATTATTTCAAAGGAGCGAAATCGTCGCCGAAGAAAGTGGATTTAAACTAATTAAAGTGGACGCGACGAGCTTTTTTACCCAAAAAATCGCTGAATCCGTCGGATTAAAAACCGAGGCTGAAATAAATTACAAAGAATTCGAAGACAACGAAGGAAAGAGGATTTATTATAAAGTAAAATCACCGCACGATTATTATAAGTTAATGGTTAAAGAATTAGGAAATAAAAAATAAATTTATCGAAAGCTCAAAGAAGAGTTTGTACTACAACTGCCATGTGGTGTGAACGTCTTTAAAATAAAAAAGAAATAATTCATTAAAATTGTTATCTGGTTGTGATATATTTATTTAAATAATTAATTTATAATTTTTATACGAGCAATCAATCTATTTAATCTTATCTATTAATCTTAGCAAAATGTGAAATGTTAAATGCAAAATAAAAAGGCTCAATTTATTTAATTTGTTTTTATCCGTTTAAAATCAATAAAACCACCTCAATTTAATGAACCAACACTTCTCAACGTTGTACTCAACTTTAACAAGATTTCATCCAATTTAAAAGACATTTCAACCACAAAAAAAATAAAAAACAAATAAATAAAATCAATTTTGACGAGGTTGTAGTGGTAAAATGTAAACGACACCCAATTTAATTTCATCCATCTTATCTTATTTGTGGGTTTAATTACGCGTCAACCCCTCAGGATGGATGGGGTCCTGAAGATTGCTCCGTTAAACCTCATTTTCCCGCAGGAATCTGCACCACGTAGCCTAGGCAACGTGCGAACAACTAAACGTTCCTTTCCTTCGATCATGAACCGACCTATATTCAGGAATTCATTCCTCAACAAGCACCAAATTGAATTCTTAGAATTCTTTCACACTTCTATCTGTATGGAATTTATTAAGTATTTAATCAATTTTTTTTTATAACTTTATAAAGATGTATACAAAATTTTTAAATTAAATGTTAATATATTTGCCAATGTGATAAATTGAAGGAAATTCTTGCTCACGTGATCTAAGAACACCTCATTTATTGGAACAACCTTAATTAACCTTTGCTCCAGAGGTGGAAATCACACATTGGTTGCAAAATACTACATGGGGATTAAATCCGAGGGTTACAATGTGAGTCTACACTTCTGTGATAAGACCCATGGTAGCTCAAGGAGCCACAGTTTGGTGCTCAGCACTAAAACATGCACATAAAACTAAATTGCAACTCAATAATTTCCCAAAAGATAGAATATGTCTCAAAGTTGTATTGCTTACAGCATGTATAGCCGAGTTCGCCCAGAGTTCTCATTCTGAGGTCGGTCAGAAAGGGCCATTAACACATGATGTGTTTTATCATCTCGTTATCATGCTCGCAGCTTTGACATAAAAGGGAATCAACAAGTTTCATGTTATAAAGGTATTTTTAAGTCAACGCCGATTGTAGGCTCAACATGGTTACTGATCTAATAAAAATAGAGTCAATTCTTAAGAATTTAAGCATATTTGTGGAAGATTTTCATGGGGTGCATCATGGTGTTACAGAATTGTTGCATACTGATCATCATTTACTGCTAGCAACTCTTTAACTGTATTTTATTGCTGAACAAGGCTACAAAAAGGTTACAAAGGAACATTTGGCTTTGTAACAATTATTTCCAATCAAAACGAGAAATTAGATTTTAACTTTTCCTTACTATCGCCATCTATTGGATAAAAATTACAATTACTTAATCCCGTAATTTAGGCAACTTTAAATATAATGCAAAATCATTTTAATTTATTAAACATAATTAAAACATAAAAACAATAATATGTATTAAAATTAACATTACAAAATGAATTAATAATAAAATAAGTAATAATTAAAAACAATTATAATCCATTGTTAAAAACCGACGTCCTTGAATTTAACAGCTGATCGATGAAACTGTCATTGTCAAAGAAACGTCAAAACAATGTTTGTAAACTAGAGAAAGTGTTAAAGTATACACATGTGTAGAGATAGTGCGTATTTCAGCTTTCACTTATTGGTTTGTTATTAAAAGGAAAAGTTTGAAAGATGGTCCAATAATTAAGAAAGGAAGATTAAAACGACAATGTTTCTAACCTTAGTTTTAGTTTTCTTTATGTTGAGTAGTGTCGCTACGAGTAACGTCACAGATTTGCAGTTTATACCATGTAATGAACTGGATATAAAAAATGGGAAGATTTCACTTGAAATAAGTGACGTTTCCTTTGTACAAATAGCCACGATTCGATGCCAACCTTCCTTTGATTTATACGGACCAGATAAATTAGCTTGTGTAAACGGAAATTGGCAACCGGCAGCCCCAATAATTTGTATGGCAAGGTGTGTTTCACCTCCATATCTTAAAGATGGTAGTGTTGAGGTTGAAGGTGATAAAGCTGATGGGATGTTTAAAAGAGGATCTTTGGCAAAGTACTCTTGTGCTCCGGGCTATGATTTGATTCCATTAGAGAGTAAATTTAGAGAGTGTAAAGATGGAATTTGGACTGGAACAACAGGATTTTGTATTGGGGTTAAACGAGAAGGGTGTAAAGCACCTGAACCTTTAAAAAATGGATATTATGTTCATGAAAATGTTGATAAAAGTGGGGAATATGGAATTGGGGAAAGATTGCATTATAGTTGTAGTAATGGCTATGAAATTTTTGGCACACCAATTCAAACATGTTTGGTTGATGGTACATGGTCACCTAAAATTCCACCAAAATGTATTCCCTTACAAGGTGAGTAAAGGTACAATTTTGAGACAAGCATTTAATTGTTTGTTGATTATTTTTTTGTTGTGATTTGTTTTCTTTTTTATATTGCATTAAATTAAACAAATGAGTCAAATTAAACAATGATTCAAATTTTGTTTGTTTCTTTTGTTCCAATTACAAAGTGACCTTCACGTGTTTATTTTAAACACGATGTTCGTTGTATCTTTTCCGCGAGAGATGTCGCGTCGAGTCCGGTCAGTTACAGGATCAGTAAACCTTATTGATTCGCCAGTCGGATTACATACTCGTTATCGACCTGTCTCTGTCCTTGTGCCGTTCGGTTTTCAACGAAAAACGTGTGTCATAAAACGTAACAAGAAGTTGATTTCTTGAAACTTGGTGGTCCTCGATGGCTGGACAAACGATCAACGATCGTCTTCTAGCGGCTAAACATAGCTTAGCGGGACAAGGACTCGCCAAATCGGTATGTAAGGCCACGACGGAAGAACTGTTGGGCCCCAAGAAGAAACATCTCGACTATTTAGTTCATTGTACGAACGAGCCGAACGTTTCAATACCGCAAATGGCTAATTTGTTAATTGAACGATCGCAAAATACAAGTTGGGTCGTCGTATATAAATCGCTCATTACCACACACCACATCATGTGTTATGGAAATGAGAGGTTCACGCAGTATTTGGCTTCAAGTAACGTATCGTTCCAGCTGTCGAATTTCGTAGATAAAAGTGGAGTTCAGAGCGCTGTTGGAGCTAGGACTGGTTATGATATGTCGCCTTTCATCAGGAGATATGCACGGTATCTAAATGAGAAGGCGTTGTCGTATAGAGCTGTGGCATTCGACTTTTGCAAGGTAAAACGTGGGAAAGAGGAAGGTACGTTACGCACAATGAGTGCTGAAAATTTATTAAAAACACTTCCTATTTTGCAAAATCAATTGGATGCTTTGTTGGAATTTGATTGTACAGCAAATGATTTAACTAATGGTGTTATTAATATGTGTTTTATGTTATTGTTCAGGGATTTAATCAGATTATTCGCTTGTTATAATGATGGAATCATTAATTTATTAGAAAAATATTTTGAGATGAATAAAAAACAATGTAGAGAGGCTTTAGATCTTTATAAAAAATTCTTAATCCGCATGGATCGCGTCGGGGAATTTCTAAAAGTCGCTGAAAACATTGGAATCGATAAAGGGGATATTCCAGATTTAACCAAAGCTCCAAATAGTTTATTAGACGCTTTAGAACAACATTTAGCCTCATTAGAAGGGAACACTCCGACCGCGGCGACGAATCAAAAGAATTTAAAATCCGGCGTTTCGGTTTTATCAAATACGTCAAATGCTTTTGGAACAGCAGCTAATAGCCAAATAGACGATACTATTAAACAACAAGCTCTCTCTGAAGAAGAAGCGGCATTAAATCAATATAAAGCTAACGTTGGTTCTCCATCGAGTACAAACCCGTTTTTAAGCTCACCAACTAAACCAGCCACAAACCAACAAATTTTAGATTTATTTGGCACCGAGCCAGTGGCTCCAACAACAACATCTCAACCATCCAAAGCTATCGATGATTTACTTCAACTTGGAAATCCATTTGCGGATATGTTTTCGGGTGCTCCACCTCAACAACAACAACAGCAACCAGTTCCAGTTCCTCCAACTTCAACAACGGATAACCTTTTCGATTCATCTACTCTGGGAAACGATTTCTTTTCCTCTCAATCCACCACCGTTGCCCCAACTAACCCCGCAAACAACTTTTTCTCAAATGGATTTCCTCCACAACAACAACCTGTTAGCGCAGTGGGACAGTTTTCGTCGTCGAATTTAAGCGGAAGTTTATTTTCAACCAATGAACCTTCAGTATTTGATCCTCTTGGAACTGCAGTTCAACCTCAAGTGGCGCAAGTGCCTCAACCTCAAGCGAAAAGCCAACAGAAATTACTTACGGGTGATTTAGAATCGAGTTTAGCATCGTTGGTAGAGAATTTGACTATCGATACTTCTGGAAAAACGAATCAGTGGAATTCCCCAAAGAATCAACCAAAGCAAGCGGCCAATTGGCAACCACAACCGATGGCTGTTACAACTGGAGCTATGTATCGGCCTATGGGACAACAAATGAGTGGTCAACCAATGGGGGGACAATTTCCTTTGGGGGTAACACAGCCGGTTATGGGAAGCCCCAGATTAGGAAATCCTCAACAACCGCCGCCTAAACAAGAAGTCCCTTTCGATCCGTTTGGAGATCTGTAGTCTAGTTAATTTAATATGTATTTATTGTAAAAAAAAAACAAATCATTGAGCTTGTTTTTTTTCTTTTGTACTCGTGCAATTTAAGGTGGTCAAAGTTCACATGCACAGGCTGAGTTTAGTGCCAAAGATTATCGGGTGGGTACAATAAAATGTGAACTTTGGCACAATTGAAAAAAAAACTCAATTATAATTATTCTAATTGTTACTTGGAACTTCTTTAAGATGTCAACTGCTTTCTAGTATATGATCTTGATTATTTATTATTATTATCAATAATTATATCAGTTTGTTCTCAATATTGCATAAGTTCTTATATGTATTTGTAAATAATTTAGAAAAAAAAAACATCAAATGAAAAAATGATTTCTAAATCTTCTGTGATTATATTTTATTGTGATATACATTAATTTATTTACTCATTTTAATTGAGTGATAGAGAGAGAGAGCATGTTGTCATCTTAAGATTTAATCTACACTATATATTTCCTATATATCTTATCTGTAATATTTGTACATTCCATAAAAGTAAGATCTATATTATTTTGCCACTAAATAATATTTTTTTATTGCGATTCTTAGGATGCTAGTCTTTAATTTCTCAAAAATAAATCAAGATTCAAGTCAACTAGTGATACCAACTTGTTCCTCTAAGTATTTATTATTTAATTTTTTGTGTTAATGTAACAGGGCGATTTCTAAAAAATATGTGTTTTCAAAAATAATTTAATTGAAATCTTCCATTGGCGAATAATTAGCAGATAACGTCCCATTTATGTAAATAAATCGTTTTGTTTCCTTCATTGTTTACACACACGTCATCATAATACACCGCTGTTTCATGTAGACAAAGTATGAATTGTAGCACGTCATATAGAGTCACATCCGGATTGTTGTTGCGTAAATGTTAACGGAACACAACTTGTATTAACTGTATCATCGAGCCTTTAAATAAGGCTGCACCAAAAAATCCCAAAATATCATTGTTAAACGTTCCGTAGAGATTATAGTTTACATTTTAGCAACAATAATATAATCAGTATATGACAATATATTAAAATCGATTAAATTATGAAGATGCTGTTGATTGAACAAAAATATAAACAAGAATGAATAAATAAAGCTTATGTGTTGATCTTGTGTTTTACTTTTTCTATTTTTAATAATTTTAATCTTTGAAATTTATTGTAGGAATTTATCTTTGAAAGTATTTTAGAAATGTGCGAACGAGGTTTACTATGAATTCTTTTAAGCAATGTAAGTAATTACGGTTGTTATTGGTATTTGGGTAAATGTTAAGTTGAACTAATGCGTAGAAACTTGATTGTGAGTTCAGTTAGCACACCGTTTTAAGAGAAAGTCGAAATGGTTTTGATATCTGCAGGTACAATAACATTTGAATTTATGTAATTAATAATTTTAATGATTAATTTTCTATTTTTATCATTCCCAAGTTTTATTTTGACCTTTTATACGAAAACTTTTCCATATACAATGTGTAAGCAATGAAAAATGGATGGCGTCGTGGACATGGCGGGCCCGCAAGCACAGGATAAGTCATCCGGAGGCTCTGGGCATAAAGCATTAATTTATGAAACGATCAAAGCAGATATTTCATGCGCGGGACTCGGCCCCAGCGCGCGCGTCCGTATTTTGTACAACAGGAACACTTCCCAGTCGAGCGGTATTAATATTATCTGCTCCGCTAAAGGTTCTTCGGTTTCGGGCCGAAGAACTGCCCTCCCACGTAGAGTGCGTGCAGGAAACCGGCACTGCCATATCGGCGGTCATATCAAAGGAGCACTTGATATAGAGACGGCTACGATCTCTATTGTGGGAGGCATAATGTTCATGTTCCGTTTGGTGTTTATCTCTCAACTTTTATTTTATAAAACTATTTTTTTTTTCGTTAAAATCAAAGTTGATTCTTTAAAACATTTTTTATCTGATTTCAACTAAACGATAACTTTTTAAACCAGAATCCTCGTAATCGTCGCCTACGTGTCGCGAATACGGCGCCGCGTTCCGTCCTTTAAATTCCGGATTTTTACACCCTTTCGTAGCAATAAGATCCATCAAACCGATGGGGCGGTGTAAATAAACGCGACGACGTCCGCGCCCACGGTGGCGAAGCGGCTTTCGCCATTACACAGAAGCTCGAATTTATATTATCCGTTTTATGTGCGTTTCGTCTTTAATTGGTCCTTGATGCCATCTGCAAGATAAGATCGCGGCAGATAACGTTCATGACGAGGTCATATCCTGGTTATTTTTACAGAGGGAATGCCCTGTGCGAAACTGCAGACCGTTCCTTACTCCAAAACGAGACCTATAGGATATTCAGTTGCATCCGGCTCAGAAGTTGAAGTTACATGTATGGACAGTATTTTTGGTATTCTACCTTGCTCCAGGGCGTCCAAATTAAAATGTATTGATGGAACATGGATTGGGACATTACCAGATTGCAGTAAGATGATTTATTAAAATTTTATTTCGATTTTTATCACATTAAAATCGCCCACTGCGCTGCTAACCGTAATCAATTAATTAATGATTTCGTTTTGAATCGATGCAATAGATTCTATTGACAAATAATCGTCTATTTAATAAAAAATAATAATTTAATTCTTTATTTCAGTTAAAATCTAAATATTATGAAGTGTGGTAAATCACTTTACAACCATATTTAGTCATAAAACACTTTACGTATTTGTACTGGCGTTTGATGTCTCGAATAAAAACGATTTATAGAATTATTCGATTCCTTCTTTTCCAAATGAACATAAGTATCATTGTAGCAATGAATAATTGGTTCTTTGTAGCTTCATCACTGCGCCTTCCTGCATTCGATACAAAGTAATGAAATCATTAGCATTGGTAATTGTAGATTTTCCAGAATAAGTTATCACGTATTTTCAGAAAATTATACACAACATTTTATTATCGAACCTAAGACGGTCTACAATAAACATGAAGCGAGTGCGATAGAACCGTAGAAGAGTCGATTGAATAACACGAAATGTTATTGATCACAGCGTTCATAAAAATTATTCAAAATGGCATAACAATGTGAAGAATCACGCATACATAGACAGCAATGGAAATAACAGGATTGGAACCACAAAATATAAGAAGGGGTACACAACGTTTATTTCAGGCAAATCTAATATGAGCTGTAATTTTAATAAACGATATAATTGTACTATAACCCTTACAAAAACTCAATTGGGACTTGTTGTCATTAACTTTGAAGGCGAATACAAAAACGAAAACACTCCGTTGGCTTATTTCCAGAAAATGTTCACTTAAGATTTTTGTGCTGTAATCGCAAAAAGTTGCAAAAATACACTTTGTGTCAAAAGTTTTTGAATATCCATAATAAAATGTTTGTTGGCAGAAAACGAACCTAAATCTATCCAATAATTCATCATTGTGACGATGATAGTATGCAAGATATATAGAAGAATTTTGCAACTTTCAAACCAATTGGTGGGAAGGGAAGTTTTCCAAAGTATTGATCGCTTATGGATAGGGTGGGACATAATAGCAATTGAAAATCTAGTACTGCTGCTTAATAGCTAATTGTACAATGGCTACCATGGGTCCTTTTGAGCTTAAGTTGAGGTGGCTCTCACTGCAACGATACATACGTTGTAGTTATCATAATTCCACTCAAAATCGGCACAGGACTACTCTGCAGAACCGTTTATGCAGTAGACGGGTGAAGATAAAACGTCCTACTGGATTTAAGGTTTTCTATTCCCACGCTAAAGCACAGCAAAATTATCTCGGATTGATAAAATACTTCATGGTCCAAGAAATTTGAATGTATAAGACAACTCTTAGGTTTACAGAAAAAGTTGTTCATGATAATTAAATTAGAAAGAATCAAAGTATTGAGATATACAAATCTTTATGGAGTGACGAAATTCCCCAAGCGAATACAGCAACACTAGTCTCTTTCAAAAAACGCTACTAATTCTTGGTCTCGCCATCTATAAGTAGAAGACTTGTCAGCTGAGAACGGAAAAATCAACGTTTTGTACCTTCTCTCAAATATTACTTCTGTTTGCAAACTTTTTAACAATTCTTTTATGCCATGAAATAGCTCCTCATGATGTGTTATAGTCTTTAGAAATGTTTGGACATGAATAAAGACATATAAATGTTTATTTCCAAAGTCTTTATATTTCGAAGCGAAACTTTACAAAATGTGCTGTTGTAAATTGATGCTATTTTTGCCACCGTATTCTTATGCTACTGGGTGTATCTATATTACAAGTAGGAAGCTTTTAGTAATTATTAGTAATTTTTCTACTACAGCCATTTATTAGCCATTTTATTATAAACTAATTGTTTTGGTTATTAAAGTATTACTAGCATCATAATACACATTCATGGACTATGTAATTCATTATAGTTTAATCCGTTTCTTGAAATAATAAAAATCGACGAAATGGGTGAAAAATTTGATATTAAATTGTAAATTAATTAAGTTACTATTTTATTATTAAACATAACTTTAATATTAAATATAATTTTAATGTTTTAGGCTCCAGAGAATGTGAACCACCACCTAAAGTACCTCACGCAACAATGTTTAATTTAAATACTCAAAAGAGTGATGTGCTAAAAACACATTTCACCCATACTCAAGTTTCGTACAGTTGTTATCCAGGTTACGAAATACGCGGCCAAGAAATTTTAACTTGTAATTCTGGTTGTTGGGTACCAAGGGAACCTCCTATTTGTGTAAGCGTGGAGGAAGCGTACTGTACGTTTTGTATTACCTATTTTTTTCACTTTTTAAATATAATTAAATTATTTTTAGTTGAATCACCCGGGTCAACAAGCAGTCGAATCTTAGCATCTTTAGCCAGTGGAGTTTGTGTACTGTTACTTCTAGTTGTAATTTGCTTAGTGGTGATTTGTAAGAAACGAAAGCCGCTTTCTAGAGCTGTATCTATTCAGCCAACGGTTCCAAGACCCGATTTAGGTGATCACGCTTCTTTGTTGCATCCACCAGATAGATTGGCGTTGATAGCTTTTGCGGATGGAATTCAAGCGGCTCAGGTACGTCGTTTTGTTACTTCGGCTTCTTTTGACGGGGGTTCGCTTCGCGAGGCCAATATATCGAGCGTCGGGACGACATTCGGACCCGGACGTTGACATAACGGCGGACATTTTCGCCCGTTCCACGGAAAAATGGGCTACAAGTGCCCGCTGACAGCCCGACAACAACATATTATGGCGACTGTGGTGCGGCTTAACGCTTACAAACTTGCAAATTGTTGAATCGCCCGCTTTCAATAAGTCATAATTCATAAGGGTTGAGAGAATGTTGTATAATTTTTAAAAAAGAAACCGTGATTAATAACTTATTTATGAAACGATTTGATATAAATATAAGATTATTATAAATTAATAAAGGTAATTGTGTAATAATTGTCATGTCGGTCAGTTTTTCTTACTGGAGACTGGTAATTGCTTAATGAGAAAGTCGGCGTGAGTAAAAAACCAAACTGAGCGAACCTCATTATGGTCTAATTAAGTGCACATTAAGGAATGTCAACAAACGGTGACGTGCCGAAGGCGATCGAACGTGTTAAAATTAGGTCTTTCTCTTTCGGTTCGTCTGCTGATGGGAGATATTCGGCACGAGTAACAGTTATCAATCGCGCGTTCTGTGCTTTTACCGTTGATGGTGGCTAAACGTTCGCGTAATTGCGCGAGAGGAGCCGTTCTCGCTGCTAATAACGGTGTCATCGAGGCATATTAAAAGTGCCGAAAAGCGATGAAAAAGAAAAAAACGTTCCGGCGGGTTTTCGGTTAAAGAGAGAGGAGTTAAAGGTGAAGTGGTGTTAATTGGGAACTGTTATTAGTTAAAAAGAAATTTAAATAAAAAAAAACGTATATTGCCTCGTAAGGTTTCTTAGAATTCTTAAACAAGACGTCGTCGACGTAAACTCACGTATTTTTTTTTTTTACTTTTTTTAACAAATCTCTTGGGCACAATTTTAACCCGTTCAATGTCAAACGGGCTCATTAGGCAATAGTAAACACACGCGGGCTATTTGCGGTCCTCTTAGTCCACATTCGTGGCGGCCTCGAGATTGTATCGGCGCTTATCGGTACGCGATCGTGCGATTCACCCACCTGTCGCTGTTCGCCTATGACTCATTGCGAAACGACCATGGTACAGAAACTCTATGACTATATATGGCAACGGGTTCGCCTAGATAAGCACACTCCGTTTTGTTTAATTACTCTTGACGGACGCACTTTCGCTCTACATTTAACGCCGCCAACGTTATAAAGAAATAATCGGAAGAAAGAAAAAATAACGTATCGTTGTAATTAATATGTAATGCGTGTGTTGTTTAAATTGATACAGACGGGGTATTAATATTAAAAAGCAATAAAATAAAGAGATGTTAAGCGAGGTCGATTGTCGGTGGACGTGTAATCGACATTTCAGGCGGGCCGCGGGTTGCTCACGCGCCGGTTCTTGGGCCGCCGGCACCGCAATAAACGCGTAATTAATAACGGCGATTTCTCCCCGTTCGCTAATGCGACATTAAATATACGTTTACGAGCTTTTTCGCCAAACATTAAGCCGAACAAATTCATCGAGCGCAACGGCCCCAGGCTATTCATTTCGTTTCGTCTGCCTTTGCACTACTTTACCGGTATCTTTATACAAAGATCTAGATTATTTTTTTCGAATCTAGTTGTACTGCTGTTAATATTGACACCTTTAATTTTCTTTATAATATGTCAGATCAACGCTTTTTCTTTAATTACGTTAAAAAAATGTATTCATCGCAGGAGAAATCATTTAATTATTTCCACCCCTCTTTTAAACATCCATCATTAAATTCACTCAGGTAATGCTGCTTCTATTCTTTGATTTAACAGTTATATTATTTTTAAATGTGTTTTATTCCAGAGAAGCTGGCTGATTACTGCTCTTCAAATTGAAATCTTCGTAATTTTTCTATTTTTGTTAGTGTTGTTTATATCGTTTGTCACGAAGAAACCACAAAGGCGGGAAGGATCTTATGATGTCATCATTTAAACTTTAATCATTGACATTTTTTGGAAAAAATAAAATTAATTGTTTTATATCTAATTACATTACATAAATTATATATCGGGTAGGCCAACCAACCTTGACCCGTGACCTTAAAGATATATGTGTTTAATGTCTTGCTCGGTGAAAAGTCATTTAGATCCTTTGGGGAGATAAACTGTGATCCAAAAATCTGATACAATTAACAGCAGGGTAGTGGCATAAAACATGCTCAACCATCTCCTCGTCCTCCGCACATAGTCGGCATTCAATATCGTCGGCTAGGCCCAACAAGTCTTTAATCGGCAGTGCAAGGACACCCATTAGAACTTTAATGCTGTTACGAGCAAGTCCTAAAATATTCCCAGGTTTGGCAGTGGCGATGTTGATAAACAGCTTAGCGGTCTCATTCCAGGAGAACTGGTCCACACTAGGCGAAATCTCTCTTCAGCCTACAGTCCAATCCTATGTTTGGCCATCGCAAATGATACCACCTACTGGCTCTGGCCCCACAAACGCTTTAGTGCGCTAGTTCATCTGCCGATTCATTGCCAGCAACCCCATAGTGACCTGGGATCCAGATCAGAGAAACCTTGTTATCACAACTCAGTTTGTTTAAAGTGCTTTTACAGCCATTAACCAGCACCGCCACCGTTTTCACGGCCTGCAGCGCCTGGAGAGCGGCTTGACTTTCTGAAAAAAACGTATTGTAATGTTCTTCACTCCTCTCTCAAAAAGGATTTTAGCACCCATGTCAATAGCAAATACTTCCACCTGGAATACAGTACAGTACGTACTCAGGCTGTAAGCTTGCTTAATCCGTAGTGTCTGAGAGTATAAGATTTAATATTGAATACAACATTTTGTGGGTCATTCTATAGAAGGCTTTAGAATAATCAACCAAGCACAGCTGCTTCACATAATCTGATCGGTCGCAGGTTAGCATAGGAATTTGATTTTTTCCAAACGTGAGGAAATTGACAATATCTTTTATTTGAGGAATTACATGTGGACAACAATAATTGATCATTTAAGTCCTGCACCATTGCTTCTTATTGCTTTTGTAATAACATTCTTCATATAAAAATGTACAAATCAATGTCACTGGGTACACTCAAGGAGGTTACACTTGCGAAATACTTATTGATTTGATACGCATTAGCTAGATTCTCAGGAATGTTGCTACACGGGGTATAACTCCACATTTTTTCAACCCAACCTAAGTATTTGTTTGGGATTGTATACAATAATCAATAAATAATTCATATACAAGGTGATTCTCAACCTATACGCATAAATTTACTTTCAAATCAAGAATACATATTCTATGTTGTTTCTAATATTTTCTATACACAATTGGACTCGCTGAATCCACGATGTCCCTAGCGTGACCTAAACCAAGGTGTCGGCGGATTGTCTCGACACCAGTTTGTATCTGATTTCGTAATTCTTGCTCAGTATTAACTTCCTCAGTATTGATTTCCTCAGCTGTTTTTAGTACTCTAAATCTTTTATAAGCCTTATCACAGGTTTTCTGCATTTCTTTAGTGGAGCTCCGCGTACCCTAAAAGTTCTGACTGGAGTGTGAACATCAAAAAGTAGTAAGAGAGTATTTTTCAGTTATAAGAACCCTCTCACTTCTTTAATAAGCCAATACTTTGCTCAGAGTCTGATACATAACCCTACTAGGACGAAAAAGTTCAACACTGATGATAACCTCAAAAAATTGTCTTAGCTATTAATATCTGTTCATTCCTTCAAGTGGTTGGGTATGACACCCATGCTAGCTATAAAGATGTGACACTTCCGAAGTGTATAGTAATATAGTCCTGCTCCGACCCCATACGGCGTTTTAGATCCATATGTGAATATCTGCCTGAACCAAAGAATGTTGGTTTTCGATCCAGGGCCGTTCAGGTAGTACAATCTGGTATCGATTACTAATACTGATCCCGTCAAATATGACATCATTAATAGCACAATATCAGTGCTTATAATGTTTTCCGCAGCCCATTGGTAGGACATGTCGGAACAGTTTTGAGCATATTACTTAAATCCGTAAATGGTAGTTCTAGCCACATTCTCTATATGCAAATTCAAGGGAGGTAAGCTTTCAAGAGAGGCAGAACATTCATTGCTAGAGTTGGCGTTTTGCTTATCGCACCAGAGATTGCCAATTCAGCTACTCCAGCTACTAAATAAAATTAATTGTTTTATGTTTTATATCTAATAGAAAATCAATTGTTCTTGTATCGATACAAAACCGACCGTGGCATTTTGTTGGTTTAAATGTCACATGGTGCTTTTAATTTATAAGCGTATTATCATACCCACAAGACCGCCCCTTTCATTAATCTAATAATTTTTCCGAAAACAATCTTTATTGTTTTCGAAGGGACAATTAATTTACGCCATTGTCCCCCTTCCAAATAAATCCTTAGAGTCTTTCTCTCACTTGAAAGGTAAAGTTACTCGTTTCCTCCTAGTTTATTTATCGCCAACTACACTGCGTTGGCGGGCGCCTTCAATTGTCCACGTTCGATGCACGATTGTTTTACTCGGAGCCGCCGCCGCCTCCCCGATGTAGACTAATTGCGATTTATCGCGCGGAATTGTTTTAATTGAATTTCGGTTAATTACGTCTGATTAGCATTCGCACCTCGGTCGCCCTTAATCACAATGCCGTTTCGCGTTAGGGCCTTTCAATTAGTGCGCAAAAACCATGGGATTCCATAATTCCCGTGGGACAGTCGTAAATAACGCGTCGTTGAACGGTAAACGCGCTCCTGTATCGCTTAACCGCTACGCCTTGTTAATTGTGAGGACCGAAATGGGGAAGAATGTGCGCCGACAACGACAACCTCTGGTCCTACCGTAGGAATGTTGAAGCTGTCGCTCCGCGTAACTGTATTTCCGATCACTTTTTTAGTTATTGACACAGTGTCATTCAAAAAAAGCTCATAAAATAAATTTAAAAAATTATATGAATCATTAAATTGATATACAAACGCTTGGTATATTTTACGATCGTGTTAAATACCGAAAGCGAAGATTTCCTGCACGCAGCCTCTGAGTAGTAGTAGTACAGAATTGAGAGATCATTCTGAGGTTACGTGGGTCTGTAACGGGGCCCGATCGTGAGTAATACCGTTAGAGAGACGAGAGATCTTCTCCCTTATCGGCGTAGCGTTATGTGGGTGAAAGGCGCGTCCGAGCCGATGTTATCCCCATGTTTCCAATACAGTTTTATATATTTTGTGGCCGGTCGGTTTCCCGATACGGACGTCGCGTACGCGTCTAATTGGGCAAATCAGGCGATTTAGAATCTGTTGAGGTCCATTCTATATGGCGCTGCAGGCCGTTTATGCCGTGTACCCATTCGTCATTATTGCGAATTGACATAAGTTAATGTCATTGCTAGTTATGGGTAATTACGTGAAGGAAAAAAAAGGATTAAATAAATATAAAAGTAGAGTTGAAAAAAAAAACAATACAAAGAAAAATCTATTTTTAGTTAACAGGTCATGTTATTACTTAACAAATATTACATCGTCTGATGAGTAGAATTTCAGTCAACCTTTTAATTTTTGCAACCACTCCGAATAGCGAAACCAATCTAAAACAGGTTCTTACGCTTATGTACATATGTAGCATATTTATATATGCGATGTTTCATGTAATTTCAAAGATATCAGGATATAGCAAAGCGTAGTTTGGTGTGTATCAAAATGATAGTATTTGATTGCAAACACCTCGAGGCTACTTGTTAATAACATTAAAAAGGATATTTTCCAGAAAGTTTAGAAATTGAACAACGTTGATTGGTGTGAATCAAAAAATGATGTAATTGACTAAAAGCATCTGAATAACGGAAATATCTCACAAATAGATTATATTTTGATTTTGTAACCGGCATAAAACGATTCAAGTTTAATTTTTAGTTCTACTTATCTTTATTGGTGAAATTGATAATTTTAGAGAGTTTACAATTTGATATGTAACCCCCTGTTGTGATCCAACACGTGTGGTCCCGAGGGATTCACATTAATTTATATTCTACAGTCGCTCGGCCGGTAAAATATTATTGGCGTGTTCTCGGGTATATGATCGCAATTCAGGCGTCGCCGGAGCCTGGTGCATTGTATTTTGATATCGAAATGTCGTCCGGTATGAAAAATATCCCGGCTTTCTGCAGACGTCGACGCAGCCCGATGCAGATTGTGATTTACCGATTTTAAATTAAGGCCGTCTTCTCGCGGAAACGGTCGTCAAAAAGTTTCTCTTTTCAATATTTTTTTTTATTAATACAATAATTTTTCTCTTGTAGCCGGTGTTGCCGACTTATGAAGAAGCTGTTCGGGATTCTCGAGGATTCATATCAGCCAGGATCCACCGACCTCATTGGCCTTTAATAGCCGCGAGAAGGTCCAGGAACTCGCCGAATCCCGACAACATTCACGTGAATCGTCAGGGATCGTTGTAAGTTAATTAAGTTTTTCTTCTTATGTAAGGAGTTGTGGTCACTTCTACCGTTTTTTTATACTTATTGTAAACCGATCCAATTAAAAATGCCGTGTGTTAACTTGCAATAAGCGCCAATTGGGTCTTTGTGGTGTGCGGTTATCTTGCAAACGTGACTCTTTGGAACGAGCAATTCGATTGGCGGCAACCGCATTTGTGGTTATGTCGCGTTTGCCCCTTTATGTCCGTTTCGACAACAGGTGTCAGAAAGGTGTAGTTTAGTTATGCAGTTAAAAGAAAATTAATAATTTATGTCACAAATGTAAATATCTTAAGTGAAAAGCTGTGTTGTATAAATTTAATTTATGGAGAGAAAAAAGTAAGAGGCTTGCAAATTTCTTTATTTAGTTGCATTCAATTTACCGATAATCCTCTTAAAAGAGCTGCTTAACGAAATGAGTAATTATTGTAGCCCGGTCCCATTAAGCCGAACTAAAACCAGGCATAAACCCGGTCTCATTAATCCGGGCGCCTCATGGCCATAAACGCAAGGCGTCCGAAATAAGTTATAAATATTCATATTAATAATCGATCACCGCGGGGCGATCCGAAACGAGGAAGGTCCTTTGGAATCGGCGAAAAAAGCGCGTTCAAACGATAAATCGACTGGTGCGAGCTGAATTATTCCTGCGGTCGCATGCCACCGGCCCGAATCAATATGCTCTTGGCGAGGCACAGCGGCTGTAATTGCCGTATTAATTAGCCGCGTACAAGATCTGCGTGTCACCGCACAATATCATAATTCTGCGCGGGGGCACGCATAAAGCAGTCTACGGAGCTGCGCCTGTTCGGAAACGAGAAACCTGGATTTGCTCTTTGCCGAGGACTGGTTTATTGGCACTTCTTGAAGAATGAAAAGAAAAATAATGATTCATAAAAAAATCTTAAAAGATGAGGAATGAATTTATTTTTTATATCTTATTATTAAACAATACAAGTACAGTAAAATCTTGATATACGGGAAAAGGAGTATCTATTATCGCCAAATTCTTTGCTTCTAGGTCTAGTGTTAGTTTTACTTCAATGAGAAATATACCACTATCTAACTCTGAATAACAACTAAAACTAGAACTAACACTATCATTAGAACTATAGAGGTATTGAATAGGAAAAACTTTTTTATGTTTAATTTTATCGAAAAAAATTAATCTTGATAAAACATTTTGCTAGTGTTTAAGCGGTCCTTATACGATCAATAGTATTGACAATACCTTAGCATATTGACAATTATATTGACCGTGTAAAGTGGCAAATTTTATTGACGGTAAATATTGATTTAGTATTGATAAAAATCCGGATTTTCTGATTTTCGGGCATCAATATTGAAAATTGGAGGGTATATGGACAATACTATTAACGGTGTAGGGTTGGTGCCAATATTTCCATCCATACTCGGTGCAATAAACTCAACATTCAAAATTAAATAATTTTATTTAATTGTAATAATAACAAAAAACATATGTTATTTTAACCCAGATGGTGAACTCAGTTCAGTTCTAGCCGCGTGCCTGTGAAGAAGTGGTGAAAATGACCGACCTATTAACTGACGTTGTTGACGTTCAACACGATGGAGATACTGTTGGTTCATCCAGTTGGTTCATGTCTTATAGAACTCATATAAAGGTTTAATAGGTTTCTATTACAGCTTTGCTGATAGTTGCTAAGGACATTATGACAGAAAACTTTAAGTCTTCAAAATTTTTTCCTTTGACCAAGTCCCTAGTCTAATCTTTCCCTAACACTTCTACTTTCTCTGTTATTGCTATCCTGTCTTTTCAGTTTGTTAAAGGTACTTTCATCTATTTGAAAGTAGTTCTTGAAATCATCAACATCGCAGAGGCTGATTTCTTTCAACAGTACTAGATGAGAATATTCATCTCTCTTCTTGAACCATTCTTTCATCCAGTGTTTGCGTTTCATTCGACTAGTACTTCAAAGCTCCAAAATAACAGCTAGGCTTTTGTACGATTATCCATATTTGGAAGGGAAAAACCGGCAAATAACCGAGTAAAACTACGTAGATTCACTGTGTTCGTGGTAAAAAGGTAACTTATTGAGCAAACTTATTGACAATAATATTGATCGTGCAAGCTAGTGAAGTATTGAGACTGGTTACCACGACGATTGATGGTTGTATTGTCAATACTGATATTGTCAATACTATTGATCGTGTAAGGGCCGCTTTAGAGTAAGATTGGGATAGAAACATTTAACATAATTTATACGCGGTGTTCAGAAAATTGAAAAAACGTTAAATGGTACAAGAGTAATGTGTATTTATTTGAGAAGATATGGATATAAGTTACTAGGAAAAGTTGTTCAAGGTAGCCTTTAATAGCAATTTTCAAAAGAATCGGCCTACTTTTATTTATTTGTGATCATTTTTGTACTAGTAGGCGTTGATTATTAACCGTAGTATTATCAGCTTAAAATGCTTACTTTACAGCAAAAAATGTACTTGGTGCAATGTTATGGGAAAGGTGAAAAATGTTATCGTCGAGTTATTCAGGAATTTAATGAAAAATTCCCCAATGTGTACATTTCTGAGACTACTTGCCGTAAAATAATTTTGAAGTTTTTAAGCACTGGGTCATTGTTGCGAATACCTAGAGAAAAGAAAAGATACGATGAAAATGATGCAAGCACTTTGCTGGTGTTACATTCAGTAGAGGAACATCCGAAATTATCATTAAGAAGAAGAGCTGAAAATCTCCAATTTGTTAAAAAGTCCCAAATTCAGAAGATATTAAAACACAACAAGGTACATCCATACAAGTCGGCCATGAAGCAAAACGTTTGGATTTTTGTTTGTGGGTTGGCAGTATGGAAAGAGGATTTCATAAGAAAATAATGTTTTCTGATGAATCAACTTTTTGACCAATGGTGTTGTGGCTTCGCAACATACCCGATATTGGAGTGACTCTAATCCGCTACTTGTAATGCGAATAGTTATAGCTATATTAAGAAATTTCCTCGACGGTGAATTAGACAATTTTCCATTAGAATACCGTCGTTTATTTTATTTTCAAAAAGATGCCCAGTACATTATGCGGCAACGGTTAGACAATGCTTAGACCATACGTTTCCAGACCACTGGATTGGGAGACAAGGACCAGTTCAGTGGCCTCTTAGGAGTCCTGATTTAACATTAATGGAATTTAATAAATGCACTTTACTCTTGTACCATTTAAAGGTTTTCCAATTTTCTGAACACCGCGTATAAAATTATGTTAAATGTTTCTATCCAAATCTTACTCTAAGAACAAGCAAAATTTTTTATCAAGATTAATTTTTTTTCGATAAAATTAAAAATAAAAAAGTTTTTCCTATTCAACACCTTTTACCTTTATGAACATGGAATGGAGCAATTTGAGGAATAACTCGAGTTGGATTCATAGATAAATAGATAACGAGGTCCGTTATATTGAGGTTTTACTGTAATAGTAAATGTAGATTTTGACTTTTACGCGGTTCAATAAATTATAAATTGATGTATTGTGGTTCGATATGTTTCAATATGTTTCAATACATTTCCTATTCCTGTTACATAAATAAATTATTATACGATATAATATAAAAATCGCGCCCAACCTTTAAAAGACGAATGAATTGTAAAGACGTAAAATTTCGAATCGGTAACAAAAACGATCCGTTAGTCTGTTTAAAGACTGATAGATCGAACTGGTAAAGTCTATAAATCAAGCCACGTGTTGTTTGTTCACAATTTCCTCGGCGATTCTCTTTGGTCGCCACGGCGAGAGAATCGCCTCTCGTGGAGGCACAATGTGCCTTCTACGACGCCCACGCCCCTTCTTCCGACGATAGATCGAATTACACGCTCGCGGCAAAAATCGCCGCCTACTTTATCCCGAGATGCATCGTCGATCGATGAATCTCCGCATAAATCCCAATGGGCGGCCCTGATGATATAATTAGTGTTATTTAGCTCTCCAGTCAATCGACGTTTGGCAACACAGCCCCATCATTGATGCTAATGGACTTTGAGCGAATAAACGTTTCACTTATCGTTGTTATTTCCACATTGCCTTCATTAACGATTAAAACCCACGACCCAATCTATTTGTTTATTTTCTTATATCCATACAATGTCACTACAATGTAAAGCCATATTTTTAATGGGGCTTCAGTTAAAGATCTTAAATGCAAATTAAAATAAATTGAGACCGTGTACAAAAGCAAAAGAAAACGACGATGTGATGATTATCGTACTTCTTGCATTACAAAATGAAGTTGATGAAAAAACTTCTTAATAAATGTTAGAACGTTTCTCACCGCCCACGCGTCCATCAGCACTACAAGCAAAACGCGTTACCGTCGTTGCGCCTTTAACAACTCCTAGTCTAGATTAAATTGCCGTTCATTTAGCAAACGTCGGAGATTGTAACGACGTTTGTTTCGCGAATGAGCGACACCTAACGATGGTGGTAAAACCGCGCGTGAAAACGCGGACCATTCCATCGTTACCAAGAAAAAGTGGCACGTAAAAACGGTATAATTGGGAATAAGATTAAATTAAGCCCCGCGGCGACGAGGTTGAAGAATTTTAAGCGGACGAATTACGGTTTAAAATGTATTTAAAAAAATGTAATATCGAGAATTACTCTTTATAGCTCTTGTAATGGTGTGCACTCAAATTGGGATGGATTTAAATATGTAAATAATTGGATAAAAAAATCTTCAATATTAATTCCTAAATCTTGAGATTAATAATAAAATCGTACTTAAAAAAATTTGATTGTATTAAATGTGAATTGAAAATCAGTGGCAGTGATGCGGAGAGCGGCGTTTCTCAAAGTTATTGATATGCGCGTATTATTCGGTCCGCCTTAAAACCTTTATCTTTAAAGCCGCGCGCGTAAATCGGACATTTTTAATTAAATATTAACGATCGTAAAGGCGGGCGACGATTCCGGTTCAATTAGAGGGAGACCGCGACGATAAAAATCAATCCGCCGTAAAATTAATATTTATTAATTTCGGAGCCGATCCAACTTTATATTCATCCCGGTCCAATACGCGTTGTCGTCTCGTCTAAAATCAAACGCACTCCGTAAACGGCTTTTGCATTTTAATACGGTAATAAAGGCTGTTTATCTCGCCAGAAAATAATCGCTCAAAGTGACACAATCTAAGCGACGATCGGCTGTAATTGCGCTAATGCACGGCCATAAAGGCGGGCGTCGCTTCGCGTATCAATTTGACGAACATCAATAACGACGCCGGGACAGCCGGATTCTTCAGATAGCGCATCTACACGCGCCGCGAATTGTTCGCCGAGGTGCAAGTCCCAACTTGTTCGCCGAAACAATTACGACGGGCGGCGTCGTCATTGCCGTGTAACCTCTAACGATGAGTATGACTCACAAGCTAATACGACGGCGGTCGCCTTTATCATTAGGAAGATGATGGATGCTCGCGTAATTATGTTTGCCTGCTGAAAGTTTTATTTGCTCGCACGCGTTTGCCAGGACGAGTGTGGTTATCATCTGTAGTAAATCGTGCGTAATTGTAGTCCATATTTGGAGGATCGTTGAGATACCTTGATGACAACGAACACGTATTTAAACATTACGATACATTACCTTTCTAATAATCAGTTTTATATCGTTTTCTTTAACATGTTAAATGCTACGTGAATGTCGCCGTCTAAAGTTGGATTTGTAAGGTATCGATTATCATCATTCTTACCCACAACTTCCACAACAATTAAATTGTTAATGTCGATATTAAGGAGTATGTTGAATAATGAGATGGGGATGATCTTGAGAAAGGCTGTGGAAGATGTGGAATGTCGCGGCGATAATGATGATGGCACTTCCGACATATTAAATCAGAAATATAGGTAACGATACTTAGAAATAGCAAGAATTGATAAGTGATAAAGCAGATGTTGAGAAACGACAGGACAGTGTTGGAAGATGTCAAAAACAATGTTGAGGGATGTCATATACACTGTTGAAGAAAACCAGAGACACTATTGGAATATATTAGAGTTGACATTTTGTCATACAAAGGAAGTTGTTACGGAAGACAATGAGATGACGTTAGGGAATTGCTCTGCGAGTGAAAAAAAAACGCCCTCAACGCATTATCAAGTATTTTTTCGCGTTGTTGTTGTTATTATCAACCACAACGCGTTGTGCGTTATAGAAAAACAACTATGACGCGATGTGTACATCTAGCAACCCAACGTGCACAATTTGCAATGTTCGCAAACCGAGCATTCGGACTTGGTCAGAATTTTCGTTATTACTGTAAAACAGAAGATTTATTTGATATAATAGAAGCTGCCCATTTAGCAACCGGACGCAAACGAAGTAGAGGTAACTGCTTAGATTTACTACAGTAGAACCCTGATTATCCGTGCTCCACGGGACCGGAAAGGGTGCGGATAATTGAAAAGCACGGATAACAGCATAATAAAAACAGAACTTAAGTAAGATAACTTAGAATATATTTATGTATTTTACGTAAGTTATTCTTTCAAAAAAAGTCTTGTCAGTTCGTTACTCGCTTGACTAATATCATGTTATCAATTTCTTCGTCTCCACTCTCATTTTCGGATGAATGGGACTACGTTATACTAGGTTAACCCAAAACTTCTTCAACTATATCGTCGTTGTGGTTTAGTTGTTTCTTCCTCACCAGATGATAAGACAATGCTTTCATCTTCCTCCAGTGTCATTATATTGTAAAAAGCTTTTTAATAGTCGTATCTTTCACTCCACTCCAAGCATTTGCCACTGTGAAAATTGCATCTTTGATCGTCAACGATTTTCAAAATTTCATCAGGTCAACTTCATCCAACAAATTCATCACTAATTCATTCCGGTAAATGCATTTCATTGTCTTAATGACACCCTGGTCCATTGGTTGTGTAATTAATGTAACATTACGTGGAAGAAAAGAACAAAGAAATTTTTATCGGTAGACCTTAGAATTGCTTCATTGGGTGAGAGCGAGAATTGTCCAGAAGAAGAAGAGCCTTTTGAGGTAACTTTTCCTTCTTCAAATACGACTTTACTTCGGGAATAAACTTCTTATGAAACCAAGTGTTTCACTACAAGTGAAACCTTGTAGTAATGAACTGGGAGTGTGTGTGTATTCATATTTTTAAAAGCACGTGGTTTTTTGACTCCTATCACAGTCAGTTTCAGTTTATAGGCACCAGACGCGTTGGCACAATACATCACTGGTATACGGTCTTTACTTTTTTTATATCCTCGTGCACTTACCTCATTACTTGCAGCCAAAGTTTTAGTAAGCATTGCCCGTAGTATAGCCCAGTTTCAATCTAAACTAGAGAGCTCAACCTGATGGACCCATAAAAATAATTTACGTCTTCATAGCAGAGTTTCCAGTTTTCGGCGATGGATTAGAAATAAAAAAAAAATATTGAACATTTTATGGCAGGGATAATCCGTGCACGGATAATCGGGGTTCTATTTGTATTACTATATTCACTGGATTCTAAACTGTACCTCTATTTGGATGCCTACAGTCAATCTTTATTTTAACATTTCTTCTGAAACTTTAAGCGTGTACATTCGCGAACTAATACATTATAACTAGTCTTATTGCTTTACTCTCTTACCTTTTCAAACTACTTAAACTACAAATGTGTGGTAAGCATTTTTTTTTCAGTTATGGAGGCCGAAATTAATAAAAAAATACTGCAATGTCACTACAGTTGCAATTCAGATTTAATTATTGCGTTGTCAGCAATGCCAAGGAAAGAAAAAATTATACAAAAAGAATGAATTCGATTTATATTTAATTATCAAGATCCCCTGACCAAGTTTACAATTCTGAAACTACTGAAAACTGAAACTGCTGAAGAAGTCGGTTAAGCCTTAATTGATATATTTTGTATGTTTGGAGCTCCATCTATTCTCCAAAGCGATAATGGGGAAGAATTTTGTAACCAAATACTACAAAATTTAAAGGCCTAAAATTAGCACATGGGAGACCGAGCCATTCCCACAAGCTTCTGTTGAGCGATCCAATCAAGATGTGAGAGATATGTTAGCATCCTGGGTGTTAGATAATAATACAAAAAATTGGGCGGAAGGGTTCAAGTTTGTTCAAAGCAAAAAAAAATCGTTCCTTTCATGAAGGAATTAAAAAAGCCACGATTAACGAAGCCATGTTTGGTAGCTTACAACGTATTGGACAGGCAAATTCGTCACTTGAAAAGGAGGTATATGAATCTTTTTGAAATGGCTCCAGAGCTTGATAAAGAAAAAGAGAGTAGCATTGATGTAATTCCATGTGAGATATGTGAAAATTATGTCTTGATTTCAGTTTATGGATATTGAACGTTGTCCATAACGCGTTGTGGGCATTTTTCGCTCACAAAGCAATTTCGATTTTTGAGTGTAACATAAACATTATTATGAGAATTTTATTGAAAATTCGAAAAGTGTGTATTACTTAAGGTCAATTTTGTTAATGATTAGAGATTTCGATAAGGTTGAACATAAAATTGTTGGAAATAATTGTTAAATCCGTTAGTAGGTGATTTCGTAGTTGATTTACATTACATCACTGGCAGTTTATTGTCGATGTAATACCATTAAAAGGCTATATATTTTTATAGCTGTCGTGGTAACGAGAGCACTTACTTCGGGAAAGTGCCGTGTGGGAATCGGTTTCGTGGCCCGTCGTTGAGAGAAGAGGGGAAAGCGATCGACCAGAGGGAGAGCAGCGTTATCAGTTTGGAGACCTTTCGGAGACGCCCATTAACTCCCCGCGTTCTTCGGGTCCGTTCCGAGAACGGCGCGGCGTTTTCAATTAGGTCCCCCCGAACGGGCGGCCTTACGACTCCCGTAAAAAAATTACGGCGGCGTTCCCGGGGCGTCCCGGCGGGACTAATTAAAATTGTGGCGTTATCCGCGCAGATAGTGGCCCGATCGTAAGTCAGATTGCCCCGTCCGGCGAATTTTACGATCCGACCGGCTCCCGCGCTTCAAAAACCGCTACGGTCCGTCATAAAATCCGTTCCTGTCGGCCCAGACCTGCTTCGCATTTTAGTTAATTTAATACAAATCCACTCCCAAACAAATTTTGTTGAATTTTCAACTAGTAATCCCATGATAAATCGTATAGAAAAAAAGTTTATGATATTTTTATAATTGATTGAAATTTAAAGACTAGAATTTTTTTTTATGATACAAGCATCTGAATAACAAGTAAGTTGTAGATGTGTTATTAGATAGCATATACATCCCGGGAATGATAATAACGCAAAAATTGAGCGGACAGACCATTCATCCATACCTCCCGGTACAACATTACAATATGTAGGCTCCATTAGATGGTATCGGGCGGACATCGCGATGCATTATGCATACACATGCCGTGTGTAATTCATCACGAGACCTCAAACGACACGTTCATCGGTGGGGCAACCTAAACTGTAGAACGTCTTTTTCTTTTAGTAAAGTAAATTTTGTGATGAAACACGATATTCGGAGAAAACGGCGGGCATTCTCGATTCATTTACTTATGGGAAATCGGGATGGATCAAAGGCCGAGTTAAATGGGTCTCCCTCTGCGGGTGGCGAACGGCAAAGTGATTTTTTGAACGCGACGTTCGCGGAAACGTCGGGCGTTGTCCTTTCTGCATTTTTGTATAACGGCCGCGGCATCGCGTCGCGTTCTCGGAATTCGCGTAATTGAATCTTAATGCGCGCGCTATTTATATGTGGGTTAATGAAGGTGATTTATACGCGGTTGGGAAAAGGCAGTAATATGGGTATTTAGCGCCAATTACACCAAATCCCTAACCGTTTTAATACGCAGATGTTAACTGTAAAATTTTTGCACCTGCATGAGCAATTCGACAGTAAAGTTCACGGTTTACAGCTTGAGAGGCGAATTTTAGCGAAGATATATCGATCGTTTTGATGGTCCTTTTTTGTATGTTTCAGTGCATCTCATTCGGCCAGTTTAAGATCAGATCCCATGGGATCCACGGATACTATGGCGGTTTCAGAAAATTCCACTACGGTTACGTTAGAGACGGTTTCCTCGCATAGTGGATCTCAACCAGCTTCCTGTAGAGCCCATTGCGGTAGTTTGGCGTCCTTCGATACCAGCTCCGTACTTAACAATGAAGGTAAGTTTTGATTTTAATTTTTTTCTTTAGATGGTGTTTTGGTATGTTATGTAGGAGTCCCCCTTTTGGAGGAAAATGAATTGGAGGAAGTCCAAGGCGATTCTATCTCTTTGGCGATGGAGAATAGGTCCATGACCGATAATAGCTCTTTTAAGCTCTCCACCGGATCTGATATTCACTAGTAAAGATTTTACAAACGTTACAAAATAATAGCATATCTCAGCTTTTCTAATAGTTTAAAGGATAAAGAATATATGCTTCATAGCTGGTGTACATTTGTAAAAAGTTTAAATGAATTGTTAGTCAGTGTTCGACCAAAGCTTTCGAAACGTTTAAAAGAAAATAATAATATATTGTAGTCTAGTCGATATTTTTGAAATAACGTTGACTATACAAAAACTTTCTTCTCTTCTCTAAGCTGTTCTCTCCTTATCCCCTTTAACCCAGTTAAGTTTGAATATAATATTTCATCGTTATGAATTCACCTGTTTATTCACCCCACAATAACCCTACGAATATTATCGACATTATTTTCCATTCTGTACATATTATAAATAAATACATTATATAGTATTATTAAACGTTATACGGTGCCTAGTTTTATATTGTGATTTATGGATAAATTCCGTCTCTGTTCCCCTCGTCCCGTAGGTGTTTAATGCCATGCGGCGCGTGGGCGCGCGCGAGGCGCCCTCTCTTTGTGTTTAGAGAACTAAATTATAGAAAATAGACAATAAAGTGCGGACATAAATGTGGTATTGTGGTTTTATTTACGCTCGCTCAAAGACCGAACTCAACTTTGCCCACCCGCAATCCCCAACCGACCCTATTCACCTCACATTTACGCCCCGATTTAGTTTAATACTCTCCGCTTTATGTTAGTTAATGATTATGAATACAATGTGAACCAGGTATTTATCGTCGGGCGGACTCTCTGTTGGGATTATATGGTAATGATATTCGCCGTTTTCGATTCATTCGCGATTGTCCACGTTTTCTTATTGTTTTCTTCTTCGAGAATTAAAAATTGTAAATAATGCGTTATTTATTATCTTATTGATTAACTATTGAAACGGAAAATTTCTATCTAGTTAGTATTAATAATGATGTTACTTAACGATTTAGTCGTGTTACTTACGCCGTTATCGAGTTTCTCGTCTACCGTAGTAAGTTGAGTATGGTAGTTTTTATTAATTTAAGCCATGACCCGACATTAGCCGGTCCCTGCACACCTCGATTTATCAATTTTCCCGTCCAATAGGCGTCGTGCTGGTCGTGCGGCGGGCGCGTCGCGTTCGTAACGAGCAAACTGCGTAAAACTGTCGAAAAGCCGGGACCGTTTGACCCCGCTTAATCATTCATTTTGCAAAGAACGCGGCAAACAGTTAAGTTGATCGCGATAGTACCGTGCAACTCTCCCGATCGCAACGGCATTACAAATTACAAATTTAATGAACGAAAGGACGGATATACGTGTGCGAACACGTGCTGGCGTTCGTCCAAAGTTCAGGTCGGTCCCGGAACGGCTCTTTGTGCCCTATCTGCCATCTTCGGCAGTTTGTTTAGGTTCCCTACCGGCGTATGTATACGCGATTCTTTTTAATGTGTAGCTGATTACGCACATACCACCCGAAGAGGCCGGGCTTTAATAACGTGCTCGTGCCTAACCTTACCTAACGAAGCCGCGGCGAAATCGGTAGCTTTGCCTATGGGAAACGTCACGAATCCGCGCGATATCGCCGTACCGATTTATTTCGTTAATTAAGTCCGTTTGTAGCCCGATGGGAACGCATATATCCGCGTCCTAATCGAGAAATGCCAACGTGATCAACCGAACGTAAACTCAAACGGTATTGCGAAGTTTACTCCTTTACACATCTTTTCCTATAAACCAACATCTACACATCCATAGTTATGTACAGCAAAAAGAAATTAACTTTACCGATTGCACCGTATTGAACAAAAATGGTGGGACTTAAAGTAATAAAATACCTCTTTTGGAAGAACTAGCATTGTAATAGGTTGATTTTCTGCGTTATATGGTTGGCTGATTGGCTGATTGGGTTGAGTTGTCTATAACCTATACAATAGACTTTCTAAAAATATCTGTTAGCGTTCAAGTGTATAATTTCTTATACTTACAATATTCTTTTTTTTTAATTGTGCTATATATTTGATATTTTAACTTGTATCTTACCTAGATATTCTAAAAATAGATAGATAAATTAATTATAAATAAATTTATAAGTTCCATTTTGGTCACACTGGCAATTAATCAAATCCACCTGACAACAACTATATAAATGTTAAGTAACTAATAGTTTTAGTACCACTCCTATCTTTTCACACGTCTTCTGCTGGTATTCTTACTTTAACCATTCTCTTCCCCAATATGGTATGGTAACCACTTTTTTATGTAAAAAATAATCAAATGTAAATTTAACTTAAGATGCAATATACAAAAATATATTTCCATAGGAACCAGTTCTTACCTACTTACTTTGTCCCACATCAAATATAACATGTCAGTATAATTTGACAACAATCTAGCGCTGAATAACAAATAAAACTAGACTAACACTAGCACTTAGTTCTAACCAGTGTTGTTAAATACCCGTGTATTTATTTTCAAGGGTAAATTTCCTGGATATATACCCGGGGGTATTTACCCAAGATAAGTATTTAGAGGTATTTATAAAATTTAATTTAAATTGAATTGTTGGCATTTTTGCAAGCACTTCAAGAATGCAAAATCGATTATCGATACACCAAACTTGTTTATAACATGTACAAGAATGCTACAATGACGGCAAAATTGCATAAAAGTACTGAAGAGAGTACAAGACCGTATATCTACTATTGTACAGACAAAAGCGCATTTTGACAAATCAAGTTTAATATCTGTGATCATCTGACCGCAACTGTAAAAAATACAAACAACGAATTATTTTGCATAGTTTAAATTTTGAAATAGTAAAGCGATGGGATGGGAAATAGAAATCAGCCGAACTTTGTTAATCTTATGTTAAGTATATAACTAATACACGTATGATGATAAATGTTAGGTATAAGAAAACTAAAAAATTGTTATTTTACTTACTATTGAAAGTACTGGAAGTAGATAAACTACTTGGAGTAAACAAACAGTTCTTCAAGTACTTCTTATGTCAAACAAGTAACAAATATCCAGTACATTTTAATCTAAATACTGAAACTACAAGTATTAAGTACCTATAATTTGAAAGTACTGGCAGTAAACTACTTAAAGTAAAAAAGTACTGAATACTTTACTTGCAGTATATTTTTACTGCAAGTAGCTCAACTCTGGATGTAATACGCCGTTTGTTATGGTGTTGTACAGAAGACATGATGAACAACAATGAATCATTGAAATTTATTGATGTTTTCATGACTTATTTGTGGAATAATTTGTAGGTAATTTATAAAATGAGTATGTTGTTTTTTAAAAATGAAATTCTTGCGCGTCTTTATCTTATGATCAGGGCGTCATTAGCATTTATAAGTAACGATCGCCGACAAAGGTCCGAGCGCATAATTAAAAGGCCCTTCTTATCTCGTCTCCGGTCGAAAGCTTGGCGTCCGTCGGCTGTCCTCGTCGCGTAAAAAACAGCCAACGTGGAATGACAAAATCGGAGAATTTGAAACGCGCTACTGTTGGGAGTGTTTATAACTCACGCTATCTTACACGAGGCCTTACGGCTTGTACACCCGCTTATCTGACCTATGCGGTCCTACCGAATGCCTGCGTTTCGTTGGCCGTCGAGAAGAGGCGACAATTTCCCATTTCGACTTAATGGCATTATTCTATCTCTGTTGTAAAAAAGAGGGATTTTATCGAATTGAATGAATGGTCGGCAGGTTGGGTTTACTCAGCCGTCGATACAATCTGGAATGTCGAGAGAAACAAGTCGGAGGTACGGGTAAGACTGCGGTAATATTTCAATATTTGGTGTTTTTCTTGTATTTCGGATTGTAAAGTTAGGGAGTGGCAAAAAACAGGGTTAAAAGAATCGCGGCCGACGAAGAATAACCGTTGGTAATAAGGTTAATAAGAATTCGCCCCGCGGCAGTAACCATAAATAAGTCGGAACGGGCATATTTCTTCGCCGGGCCGGGTGAAGAGCCGTCCATAAAATTATACTTGCGCGTACCACCTTTTTATCGAAATTTATGCGTCTAAGAGGACCGAACATTAAAAATCTTTTTGTATCGGCTACTTGATTATGCTTTATCGCCGGCGCTGTCACAATATTACACAGTCGAAAGAAATCTTACATAAAATCCAATCGGCCAACAATATCTTCGACTCGCATCCCGTTAAATTGCACTCACTCCTCTATTCGACCCGCTTTATTATACGTGACGGTGTCGGCGTGAAGGAAATATTAGCTCCCGATGGAATTGCCGACACACACATAGCTTATGTATTTATATATCGGCCTTTCTATATTCCGTTGACTCGCGCGCACGGGCGGCCGTTCTTCACGGGCTTTTATCTGAAATTGGTCGGCGGCAACCCTACAAAAAAGAGCGGATTCCGAACGGCGTGGAAAAGATAAAAAGGCGGCGACCATATAACGTGAAATTTATGAATTAAAAACTTTTAATTTATAACCCCTCACAGATAACACTCCCGTTCATTATCCCCGCCCGTTTCACATGAAAAACTACCCGCTGCTGAAACGACCCCATATAATGTAATGGCTGAGCTTTAAGAATATTAAACATCATCGCCCGAAGGCATTCTGAAATTCTACACCAAACTCAATCAAATTCCAACACATCCAGAAATTTCAAGATAATTATGAAACATTTTAAGTCACATGTTTTTACTATTTCCAAGAAATCTTAATTTACAAATCTTAGATCGTTATCTATCATCGACCCCATAAAAAATAATGGCCAAGTTTAAAGAATATTAAATATCATCGCCTAAAGCAGCGGAAATTGTACACCAAATGTGATTCATTGATAATCATCACTAATCATTATTATACATATTTCAAGTAATTAAGATAATAAAGTTATTTAAAATTTCCTTGGTGATGATAATTAGTAATAAAAGTGAAAATCAAAGCTTTGTTTGTTCCACACTGATAAATAGTAGTAATTAAAGACTGTTAAATTGATATTCTGCTTAACTCTTTAACTGACGAAGATAATGAGGCTCTGTGGTCGTTTCGAATTCTTTTCATATCACGTAATTAACATGCTCATAATACTCGGGGGAAAATCGTTGATTCGGAGACCAATTTTTCTTGTGGTCGCCGATCGCAGATGGAGACGTAGCGTGGGACCCTGCAGTCTCTGACGAAGCTGATTAGCGTAAAATTCCTCTAGGGAATTTCGAGCTTTTTCTTCACCAGCGTATTTCTTTTTTGCATACTGCTGAATTTTAATTATTTCATTACGTAAATCTCGTCCTGTTTTTTCGTTAATGTTAAAGTTATTTTAACGAACTGTTATAAAAGAATAATCATGTTAATAAAATAAATTGGCTTTTAATTGAAGCAAAGATTTCGTCGATATTCCAAGAGTAGAAGTTACGCCGAGAGATGGGCAATTACGATCGGAAGCTGTAAATTATTAAATCGCTACCGTTTGCCAGAGCAGTGTTCTGGTTATAAATTATTATAGATCGTAATTAATGCTGTAGTTTGCGTACGTAAGCGTGAGTTATACGATAGTTTCGACAGGTATTTACGTGCATTTCGGGCTAATTAAAAAAGGAACAT